ACTTTGTGGAGATTGGAGACTGCGTCTCAGATCATGTGGCCTTGACCTGTGGAGTACCACAGGGGTCGATCCTGGGACCTCTCCTTTTTAATCTCTACATGCTGCCGTTAGGTCAGTTAATACAAAGAAACAAAGTGTCCTACCACAATTACGCCGACGACACTCAGATCTATGTCTCACTGACTGCAGGAGAACATGGACCACTGGATTTGCTCCTTCACTGTATCCAACAGATCAGTGACTGGATGCAAAATAATTTCCTCCAGCTAAATGCAGACAAAACCGAAATCATTGTCTTTGGTCCCCAGAAACAAAGAGAGGGCGTCATTTGTCAACTTCAGTCTCTCTCCCTACTTCCTTCAGACAAGGTCAGAAATTTGGGGGGTAATACTGGACTCAGACCTAAATTTCAATAGCCACATAAAATCAATAACATCAACAGCTTTTTACCATCTGAAGAACATTGCCAAAGTTAGAAATATAGTGTCCAGGGCAGACTTGGAGATTCTTGTCCATGCATTTGTCTCCAGCAGGCTAGACTACTGCAATGGCCTGCTTACAGGTCTGTCCAAACAGACCTGTAAGCAGCTGCAGTACATCCAAAATGCAGCAGCTAGAGTCCTGACAGGAACCAGGAAGTATGACCATATTAGTCCGGTCCTCAGGTCTCTGCACTGGCTTCCTGTGGCTCAGAGAATAGATTTTAAAACAGCTCTGCTTGTGTACAAGTCTCTCCATGGCCTTGCACCAAAATACATTAGTGACATGTTGGTGTCATATGAACCAGCCCGGACTCTGAGGAGCACAGGGACTGGCCTCCTGCTGGTGCCCAGAGTGAGAACCAAACATGGGGAGGCTGCGTTTCAGATCCATGCAGCTAAGATCTGGAACAATCTCCCTGAAAATGTGAGGGAGGCGTCTACTCAGTCAATGTTCAAATCCAGGTTAAAGACTGTTCTGTTTGCCTGTGCATACAACTGAAGGATTTTATCTCCATTTCTAATGCACTGTTGTCATTTATTTTTTATTTTTTTTAATTTTCTTGTGTAATTTTGAAAGTTTTAATGGTTTTATTCTTTTGTGTGATTTTAATGTTTTAATTGTGTTTTAATCTTTTGTGTGATTTTAATGTTTTAATTGTGTTTTAATCTTTTGTGTGATTTTAATGTTTTAATTGTGATTCTGGTGTTTGTTTTATGTGATGATTTGTGATGTGGACTGTGAAGCGCTTTGTGTTGCCCTGTGTATGAAAGGCGCTCTACAAATAAACTTTGATTGATTGATTGATATGCCTTCTTGATCACCAGGGTCGGGTGAACCAAGGCCACTTAGGGCTACACGAGGGTCCTGCCTACGGTTTCTTGTGGAATATACTGCCGCTGGAGCTGCGTCATACTGAGAACATCAATATTTTCCAACCTTTGTTAAGGACTTTTTATACACTAAGGCATTTGGATGAGCAGTGTATTAGGTCTGTATCTATGAGAAGCACTTTGTAACTGTTGTTTAGAATCATCTTGGTACACTGTGAGTAGTTTCTGTTAAAAAAAATCAGCCCCCATGTATGTTTGATCCTGTTGATCTGATCCAAAATGTTGAATGATTTAATCAAACCTTGGTCTAGTACCCTATTCACATTCCCATTTTGTCAAGCAAGCATACGACACTATTGTACCAAAACATTTTTTATTAGAAATTTCTTGTATAAAAATGAACATGCTCTACACATTTTCTTTTTTTTATATAGATAATTCATAAATATCCAGGCACTGTAATTATTTTAGCTTTCAGTATTTTAATAATTCAGTACATAAAGCAGACATGATCAATCAATTTAATAACATACACTAAACTTGCCATTTAATTTCAGTCACCACTTACATATTCTATTTTGCAACACAGACAAAGTGTTTTAGGGAAAAACAAAACAGGGCTGTGGCAATAAAAGCAAGAAATGGCCATATTACACAAACACAAACAATCCCACAAACAATGCTTTATAAAATAAAGAGAAAAAACAACACTTTGCGCAACAAATCAGACTTCTGTTGAAGCTGAGAGTTTAGAATGACAGAATAAATGTATTTTAATTCTCCAAAGTAATTCTTCTGAATGTCAAGCTGCTCTCCCAAATTGGTCACATGACTTTTTATGGATTTTGGACATGCAACATACATTTTTGCATTTCTGAAGATAACAATAGAGACAAGGTCCTGCGGTTCTGACAAATGTGATCAGAGACACTTGGAGAGATTGTACACTGAGGCCAATGTGGTGGAGAAACACCATGATTAAAATCATGGACGGACTTATGTTATGTTGTCATATGAGGCACAGAATGAGACCAATGGTCCTTTTTTATTAAGCATGCTATTCTCATACATACTTTTAGCATTGTAATTAATATGTATTTGAATATAGTAGATATATATTGCAATGTTTTGTAGTGATGAGAATGCTGGGAATGGAATTAAGCTCTGTTTGGCAACTTGACTTGAGACTGCAGCATAATAAAGAAGGACCAATACAAATGAAATGTTACAAGTATGAACCTTCAAGTTTTGTATGACTGTAGAACTGTGGATGGGTCTGGTTCCTTTAGTGCTTGAAATGAGTCTTCTATTCAGCAGAAGGTGTAACCCAGAGAGGAAATAGCCCGACTCGACATCTCCAATTGTGAATGACAAATGTTGCATTCCATAGACGTTGACAATACAGCACAGTACACGTGACGCTCCCACAAGCATGCTCTGGGACTGTACACTAGGATTGCCAAGAGAGAATGGCATTGTCATCATCATCAGTTTTATGAAAAAACATAAAAAAATAACAGCAATGAACCACATCTTTTGATTCTGTGGCTTAACTTAACATACTGTAAGGCATGTACATTTTGAATATTGTACTGCAGCTCCCATCTCCAAAAAAATAATGACTATATTTTAATATTTCCCTTGTCAACTGCATTTGGCTTGAGCAAAAACTTACATTTTTGTCCAAGTAAGTCAGATGCCTCAGCTTTGAGGAGAACTGAAAGCATTTGTTGTAATACTTCTGAAGGAAATCATACTGTAGGCTCCAGGTAGTTAGCTCAACTTGTACTTGGAAACCTTACAAATATTTTCCAAAAGTGGCCAGAGAAAAATGAACCGTCCATTCTGCCTTATGAGCATCCATGAAGTTGTCGTATTCTTGTACATTTTGGCATTTGAAGCTGTGACACTCTTTCCGACAAGACTTGTAAATCGTCCAATGTTTCCCGTACAGAAGACTCTCGATCTTTTACTTCAGTGTGGATCCTCTTTCTTAGATGGCGTGGTTACTGTAGCTTATGTATGTCTGCTTGGATGCCAGAACTGTGGGAAACAAGGGAGAAGAGTTTAGAGAAGCACTTTTTGTAACTGGAAATACTTTTGCAGTGCAGATTACTATATCATGGTACCATAGTACTTGATGAAATCACAACACAGTATTTTTATTTTATTCCTTTGAATGATCAAAGTTTAGTTTCAGCTAAAGTCATCATGGTTGTTGTCATCATGATAATCCATCCATATATTTTTACCGCGTCTTATGTATTTGAGTTAAATATTCATATTGATTTAAAAGTAATTCTTCAGCCACATTTTTTTGCCTCAATTAATTGGTTAATTTATGTTACTACCGTACCTAAATTGTGGGAAACTGGTTCACGTCAGCCACAGAACTAATTTTGAACAACCACCTTATATAATTAAATAATGTAGGGTTATTTTATGTTAAATGTGAATCATACTTTTCCTTAAATATAAATCTACAATATGCACACTTTCCTCATTGAATGTGTACTGTATATTGGACTGAATTTTCTAAAGTTCTTCCAGTGCAGAAAAATAAAACATGTTTTGCTCTCAGCAGTTAATTGTATATTATTTACCAAGATGTCACAGTAGTTGAAAATGTAATTAGACTTATTTGGATGCAGTTCTTGTCCCATGCACGGCCTTACTATTGATCTGCATCAAGCAAAGCATGCATCAGGTGGGTGGTAATAACTTCTAAGTGCTAAGGCAATATGTGATCCATCTTTGACATAACGTGTTTTTGTTACAATGTGCTCAACATTCTTCAAATAATGGCTGTGACCAAAACACATAGAAGCTTTATTCTGGGTCAGTACTGATTATCATACAGTAGATGGGCATACCTGTGTGTTGGTGCAGCCATGCTCTAACACACAAACAGTCTTCCTAAATTCTTTAGTGCCAATATTGAGGTAAATCATTGATGAATATAAAACTGTCTTCATTCAGCATGCTTGGAGGGGAATCACATGACCAATCTGCCAATCTACCGCCCACTGCCCTGGCTGATTGAATATGTCGGAGGGGATGAATCCAATCAGAAGACTGCTGAAAGCCAAAGTCGGGACAAGGAACTTGTAATGGTAAATGCATCTGTGTGTTTGTCAGTGCCATGGTGGCCGGGTGAACGGGCCTCTTTTCCCACCGTTTCAACCAAAGCATCTTCTCAGAGAGAAGCATTGATAAATGGACCTTATTTGAATATTTATGTGCTGCAAGGCCAAGATAAAGAATAGATGGTCCAGAAAGAATTGAAGCTGGCAGTCCCATCTTTCTTTTCCTGTTCACTGTTATTGTTGTTGTTGTTCCATTTCAGAAAATACTTTTTTTTCCTTTTCAGAATAGAAACAAATTACAGGGACACATGGCCATCGCCTGTCATCAGTTCTGTCTGAGTGCTGTCATGTTTCCACATTAACAGATTTTACTAAACCAATTGACCATTTTACAGCACAACACACTTATTGCCTCTCCAAGTCGATGTTTGATGGTCAAGTAGGATTTGAGAGGTTGTGATTACAGCATTGTCGTATTAAGAATGGTGTATTTTGACCATGGGCAGTCCGAAGGATCATAACAGGCAGTGTATAGGTGAATACTGGCAGAAAAAAAACCAAAAAGACAGAAGTATATAATTTTTACCATGGTTACCTGAGTCTAAAGCCCCTCACAAGGTTCCCCTCCCTCAACACAGTCTGATACGTAAGCACAAAGAGTAGTTGTTAGTCATAACTCATGTTAAACATTAGAATCAGCAGTATTTATAAAAGAGCTAACCTGAGATAACAAGCCAAAGGAGAGGCATGCATGCAGGTGCTTGGAGACATTTTAGAGCTTTTAGATCTTTTCAGTGTACAATAAACAACAAAATTACTCAAAATGAATTCTAGTCTGCCTGGTCTCACAGGGGACCACCTACTTAGAGTCTATAGTCTGTTTAGATAAAATCCAAAAATGTATGATTTTGAGTTGAAATAGAGTGTATTATATATACTGTACATTTGTGTTATTGGCACTGTCCTTTAAGTACCTCTTTATAGAGATACCAATCAGGATACCAATTAAAAAAACACACAGGACAATATACTTGAGATTGATCATGTTCAATCTCATGTTCCATCCCTCGTGTCCTAATGGGTCTCTCCCGTCACTCCCCTATCAAGATACCAACCTTGTGTTTCAAGACTTTCACAGAGTTCGGACTTGGCTTCTCCGTTGGGCCTGAGACCGCCTTTGGGATTGAACTTGTTGGACATGGTTGCTGCGGTGACCACTGCCTTCAGGCTGCGTTTGCGCTTGGGCACATTCTGCTCCGGATGAACCAGGACCACATAGACTTTAGGCATGTAAAGCATCCCCAGTGACACAGATGCACTCAAGCTTACAGAGATGGTTAAAGTTGTGGTCTGGATGTACATCTAAAAAAAGACACAACAAATACAATGCAGACGTATTGGATACATTAGCACATAAATTATTATTTATTTGACATGTTTTAGGAACCCTAGCTCCCCATGTTATATGCTTTGTGTGCATGTTCTAGCCTTAAGGCTGACACAATAACATTAGTGTATGTACTGTGAAGCTATAAACGGCTGCAACCCACAGCTGGGCAGCAAATCTAGTGCTACATGCAGAGTGTGGGAATTGCTACACTTTTCAACATTTAATGTAATGATAAGTAAATGTATACCAATGGTCTACATATTTATTTTTTCTATTTGACCCAAAAGAAAACATGTTTAGCTCTTTATTACATCTAAGAAAGGTCGCCACTAATGTTTGAATGTTATGTGAAGTTGAAAAAAAAGCAGAAAAGAGCTGTGCAAGTCCAGCTGACAACATCCTTTTGCCTGAGGCTTGGTCTGACATTAAATGTGCAGACAACATAAATGAGTCTTTTGGCAATAGCTTAATCTCCACAATATTATGGTCACTGTTTCATGGTTTAGTAAAAATCACAACCTATCACACTATTATATACTTTGCCATACATACTGTACATATGTTCATTTATAAATTCAAGTATAAATGTATAAATGTTTAAGTGTATACACAATTTACCAAGTGTCATAATGTTTTGCAGGAACTATATAAAAATGCATAGAGACTAATGATCTCATGCATGGAATCAGAAGTGTAATTTTGATGTGCATTTATCAAATAAAACATCTAAAAAGCCCCAAAGCCATGATGAAAAAGATGCCAGTGTGAAGTGAGCGTGAGTGGGCAGTGTGTTCCTCTGCTCCTGCACATGAACGTTACTTGCTGATTGAGGGGAGTGTTATAATCTCCTGAGAAGATTGCACACGGCCTGGGGTGTGTAGGGAACAATATTGCTGCCACTCTGGAGTTTGGAGTGGTCACTCTGTGAGAGCCAATACCCTTGTCCATTTTAATCTGCCCCAGTCACATGACTTTTATATTTGCAGTTACAGTACAATGACCTAAACCTGAAAGATGTATTTCTCATTTACAACTCTAACTTCAACCCCAGGACTATTACTAAAAATGCCTATGCAATCCTCCCAGCTCAGTGGTTGTATTTTAGAAGTTCTGAAGTTTAATATATAGCTTGTCTGTCAATAGAGAGTTTAAAACCTTATACACATGTTGTCTACACAGGGTAAGACACTAGCTTGTTCGTGTATACATGAGGTTTAGAGTTCCTTTTTTGTTCCTTGTTCACTAGTTAGAGCCCAGGCGACTTGCAGTACATTTCCTTTGACAATAAAAATGACAAAGGACTTTGAGCAAAGTTGGAGCACTTACCTTTTCTGCTGACTGAGAGGTTCCAAAGAAAATGGGGATGAAAGCGAGCCATACTATACATGTAGTGTACATAGTGAAGCCAATGGGCTTAGCCTCGTTGAAGGTCTCTGGGACTCCTCTGGTTTTGATGGCATATACTGTGCAGGTAACCATCAGCAGCATGCTGTAGCCCAGCAGACAGATCAGGGACAAGTCTGATATGTCACATTTAAGGACTCCGCGGGACATCACTGGGTTTGTCGTGCGCTGGTCCTCATAATCAATGATGGCTTGCGATGGGTCGACTCCAAACCAGATGCATACTCCCAGGAGCTGCACTGATATGAGGCTAAATGTTATAACTAATTGGGATGCTGGAGAGATGAACCGAGGCGCACTAACTGACATTTTGCCTTGCTCAAAAATTCTGTAGATCCTATTTGTCTTTGTCAGAAGGGCTGCATAGCTTATACTCATCCCCAAGCCTAGGAAAATCCTCCGCAGAGAACATATAAAGACGTCAGGAGTAGAGATCATGAGGAAGGTTGTAGCATAGCAAAGGAATATTCCTGTCAGCAGAACATAACTCAGTTCTCGTCCAGACGCCTTCACAATAGGCGTGTCATTGTAGCGCATGAATGTGGCCACCACAAACAGGGTAGCCATGATGCCCAGCACTGCAATAAGCACCGGAATCACTGCCCAGGGGGAGGACCACTCCAGCTTGACGATGGGTATGGGCACACAGCCAGTGTGGTTTTCATTTGGCCTCAAATCAAAACGGCACATCTTACATGTGTATGTGTCTGCTTGATACTGGTAGCCATCACAGTTCTCACAGTGCCAACAACATGGTATCCCCTTCACTATCTTCTTGCGCTGCCCTGGACGACAGGGCTGGCTGCAGATCGAGGAAGGAATGTCTTGTGTTCCACCAGGCCACTGCATCTCATTGATCTAAAGATAAATATTATAGTTAAATTGGCATTCACTTTGTAAAAAAACAGAAAGAAAATGTCCGTACATCTAGGTGAAGCTGATCAGTCCAGTGACCGATGATCTTGTATTCCATACTTTCATTTACAATCTGGTATTGGTAGATTTCATATCGACCAGGAGCGTCTCCATTCACATTGAAGACAACAGGTGTACCAGCTATACCTGTAAAATTCATTGAAAATAGTTTATTGAAACTGAATAGAGTTTTTATTTCTTAAATGTTTTTTCTAGATAAAGTAGTGTGCGCTGTGTGCACAGTGGTTTTGTGACTTTTGAGAATTTAAACACTGTCTAAAATGACACTGTGTACTTGTCATTTAATGTTTTTTAATATGAAATATTTATATCAAGTCAAAATGTTTTAGTGACAATTGTATCAAGGGAAAATAGTCCTATTGTCCCTATACTACCACCAGAGAGACGTGTTGAAACAAAGCTAAAATTAGGAATATCCTCCCTAATAATGATACAGATACAGTAAACTGATACACTGCAATGGAACTGCAATGCCCTGCTGGCAGCGTGCCCTAAATCTTCCATAAAAAGCTTCCAGCTTGTCCACAAATACGGCCATAAGGATCCTAAAAGGCACCAACAAGAGGGAACACAGAACTCCAGTGTTAAGTTATACAAGGTCATAAATGGTATGGCTCTCTCCTACCTCCATGACACGTTAATATCATATCAACCTAACCAAGCACTAAAATAGAATATTGTTCTGAAGTTGATGTATTTTGGTAATTCAATTTAAAATATGAAACCTATAGACTCTTTACACACAATGTGACGTATTTGTTATCATTTTAACATAACGTCTCAACATGAAGGATGAAATGTTTGGGGTTATGGTTTCTTATGGACATATGGATTCTCTGTAACTAACTCACTACTTTTTCTGGTAGAGTTATAAAAAGAGCAGTATCTTTCCTGTTCATCAGGGAAGGATATCTCTAAACTGGCCAAATCATCTCTCACCTCTGCTCTTGCTAGTTCAGTCTTAGTATTCTGCAGTGCCGCCCGCCACACTCCGCTCTCCGGAAATACCCAAGTACATTAGAGTTTTACTTCCACCTACATTGCTGACTTTGTCTCACCTGTTGATCCAACTCTTTAATCTTTTAAATACATATATCCTTTCCTATATATTCCGCTGTGATGAGAAGTTTCTGACTTGAGTCTATGTAATTGCCTGAATGCTCTGATGGTGGAGTCATCAGGCATGGCAGTTGCTATAGCAATTACTTTCTGCTTCCCTGGATATACAAGCACATAAGTTATGTAACTTCATGCAACTTTTCTTTTGTGTTATTTCTCATAACAAGGCAAGAGAATCATACAATAGAAAAAAAAGAGATACAGTACATGTACAAGATATGCATTCAATATAATACTGTATATGCAATATGTAAGTGAAGTGCTGTAGCAAAAATACAAAGGTAACATTGTTGCACCTGTGAAATTGACGTCCCGTATATACTTTAGCAGCAATGTGCCATTAATGGTGTCCATTTTTGAGCAGAGGCCGACTTTTCCAGGACAGAGATCTTTGTGCATGTTGTGCAGAGCATGGGCCATGGAATACACAGCGTCAATCACAAACTGAACCTTTCCCTCCTGTTCGTAGGAGGAGTCTTTTCCAATTCGCTCATGATCTGAAAGCAAAGACAAAACATTACAACATTAAAGCAATTGTTAATATTTTGTTTTCCCTCAACATGGAAGGTCATGTCAGATTTTTTATGGATTAATACAATGTGGTGGGAGTGGCAGGGAGGATGGAGTGTTATGGCAGCTGAGGATGACAAAGTAAGACAAGCTGAACAGTCTTCTGTTCTATTCCAATTAGTCATGACAGGTGTAAATTAATCACGGCTTGGCTCGGTCAGATTCTTCTATACATGTGTAAATTCTCTTTATTAGTTAATTGACCAATCTAGGGTAGACAAAAAGAGACATTGCAGGGCTCAACTACAACTTGAAAAGAATATCATAAATGAGTTTATTGATTTCTATTATTACAGTGCAATGAATGCAGATGATAAGATAATCCACTTAAAATGGATTCTGGAGGATAAACCTTTTTCATTTTCTACCATAGTCCAATAATGTACCATTGTGAACAAGTCTGGCAAATGGAGGCAGTTTGCCCTAGGGATAAGGTTTATATAGAGCCAGAAAGTTTTTCAATACTTGAGCTGTCGACTGAAGTTACTTTATTTGGAGTTCTTCATCATAACATCATTTGAAGTGAAAAAAAAAAAGTTTTGATTAAACTAGTAGCAAAGACAAAATAGTTCTCAGAAAACAAAGATGCCATGTATATTAAACTTTATTAGTATACTTGAATACAATCTTTATTTGAACCCCAGAGACTCATTGTCGCTGTATACTGTGTATAACTTGGAGGAATAACGAGGATTGAAAGAAATGTGGACACATTTAACTTGACCAATGTTGGTAAACGTTGTTGTTGAAAGTCCTCACTCAGTGGGATGAATTTTCCCAGGTTTTGTCTCCTTGATAACCCCTTTGACCAATGGGGTGTGACCTGAGAGTGAGATCATGGCTGGTATCCAGAGAGTCTGCAAACTATTGGGACAATGTTTGGTAGCTCCTCTCGGCCATGATGATGTCGCAAAAATGTGGAGTCCTGCCAGGGCTCTCTCTCTCCAACCATCTTACCATGGGGTATAACAACTATATTTTTGTTATAATCTTTTTTATTTTGATCACGCATTCTAGCTATCTGATCATGCTACAACGTGTGCTTTGTGTGGCGGTCGCTCAGAAAGACCCAAGTGCCAAACACAGGAATTCTTCATGTTTGTATTATTTTTATCTAGTGTTTACTTGAAGAAGGCAGTTCAGGCTCCATAACGCTTTGACTGTGCAGGCTATTCACTCTGCCAGCTGGCTACAGGCAAAAGTAAAGATGGCAAAGATAGTCAGGTTGTGGCTGTCAGGGGCTTTTTATCGCTCCTACCTGTCTCATCACTACATGCATTCACTACACCCACTGTCTAACTGCATTTTTCACCCACGACGATGACAGCCACGTAGTGTTGACTTAGCAAGTTCATATCTTATCTACTGCCTACTGGATTTCTCCACCACCACCAAATTTAACTTGAAAGTCCCAGATGGTTGTAGAGATGACATATTCAGGTGAAACGCATAACATAGTATATAGAATATCATTCAAAAGTCTATTTAGTTCTATTATTCAACTTAGAATCTGAAAATGTATGTAATGAAATACATAATTATTACGTAATTTGATTGAATTATGATTTATTTCCCATAGTGGCTCCCATAGTGGCAAACATTGACCAATATTGAGACGAATGGTGTACTGAAGTGAACTAATTTGTCTATCATTTGTGTGTTTTAGTAGGAAATTAATTTAGCAAACACTATAACAGCAGTAATTGCCTTTATATGCTGTTTCCTTCCTTTTTTCAAGTTCTCTCTTTCAATTCTCAAAACGTAGTGCTGCTGTTAAGAATGAAAATGGTGCACTGTTTGTATCCTGATTTGGAATGTCAGGTATTTTAAAGCTTTAAGGCTGCGGCACCTGATGACTCATGTCTGTACTAATGGACAGCAGAGTGGCGCAATGAGATCTGCACTACACAGCTGGCTCAAACTTGATTCAAGAACTCATGTGGTTTTATTGTAGCATTGTCCTAAATACAGCAAATAATCATCAATAATTTACATAAAACTGTACATGTCATCTGATCTGTACCATAGGATGAGTGACGGTAGGGCAGGGCTGTTTACTGTGCACATTTGCATTGCAGTAAAATGACCTGTTGTTAAGGGCGACAATAGTGATGCAGCTACATGGGAAACCTTGACCTTTTGGACACACGCTACAAGACAAGTCGAAAGCAGACAGAATTTAAATCGTGCATCTCTAGTCTGTGTTGTTTACCCAGTTCCTGAATGAAATAAATCAATACATCCACTCTGAACAGAAGCAATGTTAATGCGTAGAAATTTGGTTTTGGTGCTAAATAAAAAAGTTGAGTTGAGTTGGAGCAAGAAATGTATTGTTAAAATGTTAAACTGCTTTTAATATTATTATTTCACATGCCAATAACATTGATAGTCCATAGATAATTTTCGAGTTTTGCCTTTTCATTGATTATCCCAATTGATTAATCATAAGCACAGTTTTACATATGTGGGATATGTTTGATGCAAATGCTGATATTGCAGACTTACAAAACTTTGTTCAATCTTTTTTGCTTATGATAAATGAGGTTCTTAGTGTATTATAGAAGTTGAATATAACCTACAGGTTTAGACTTTGCTCATTGCTCTCTCTCCTTCTGTCTGTTCAAATGTGGACTGTTGTCTTGTGCTTGTGTTTGGGTGCCCTGTGGGAGTACTCCCTGACCTTTTTACTTGATGAGGTTGATGTGTTTCCTAAGTCGGAGCCTGGTGTACAATAACCTGGCAGCCACTTATGAATGTACTGATAGAACTTTCCATAGATTCTTATTAGGCACATTATCTTTTACAGTTATAGGTGTTATACACATTCCTTAGACTGAGTCTGGCGTGTGCGTGAATGTTTGGTAGTGGTTGAAGGGGCCAATGGCACTTAGTGGTTGCCTCGCTGGCCCCGTGGCAGCTGTGCCCACAGCAATAGTTTACCACTGTGTAGGGAGTGAGTGAATGAATAATGGCATGTGAAGCGTCTTAAAGTGTCAAAAAAGTGCCACATAAAACCGCTACATGATTATTATTATTACAAAATGAACAGACCAACATTTTTTGTTTCAAATTCAGTTAACCGTCATCATTATTCCTAAGAAAGCCCATCTATAAATAACAGTCATTTTTTGATTGGTGATTGAGGGTCACAACTGATTGAAACCACACTTACTTGTGCACTTTTTGATTCCTGACCCCTTCTTCACAGCATGTCGACTTAATTTGCACTGGAAGTTGTTCTCCCAAAACTCAGCAAACCAGATATTTCTGCGATTATTTTCAAGTGTGCGACTGGTGAAATATCTGTCAAAACCTGTGTAAAACAACACATATTCATTCAACATTTTAACTTACTGGATTACATTGGGGAATTGTAATACTAGACGGGCAAATGGCAAAGTGCTGTGTTCCCTGCAAGCTTTTAAAGGTAATTGAGTTATTTGATGTTGGCTAATGCACCTAAACATAATGGGCTTTTCCTTTCTTTTTGTTATTTCAAAAAGCCACAGTTTCAGAATATCACAATTTGGTTCAATGATGCATTGTAATTAATCAATCCTCAGGCAAAAGGTAATTATTGATATGATATATATATATATACCATTTTACAAGGACATATGCACTGTATTGTCTTATACTTTAATAATTTTTTCATAGAGTACACATTGTAAATATCTTGACTGCTTGATGGACAGAGCCTGTTCCTTTCTACAGTTGTTTAGCTCTACTTCAGCACGCCTCTGTTTGTGCGTGTACGTACATGTGTGCAGCCCTTCGCTCAAGGATGCCCTGTCAAAGCAGCAGTTGCAATGAGAAAATGATTTGTACTGCAGAGCTGTCACAAGGAGGTGAACGTGCACTTACATGTTTAAAGAGCATCTCCTTGGATACACTATGAATCTGACTTTTTTTATGTCACATTGTGGAAACTGCCTTTTAGTGAAATAAAATTGAGTGATGGCACAAGGGGGCGCCAACTTGACTTTTGATAGACCTCACCGTGCCCAAATGCAAAGAACAGCCACAGACCAATTCTGAGCACGCAACACTTTCTCGGCTCGAAGTGAGGCACACTGCTCACTGCACATGCATGTGGCTGTCACTTTTCATGCTGGTTAAATTAACTGCGTGTCAAATGTGCGCATTTGTAAACTGCAAGCTACTTGCACTGCCTTTGTGATTGACAGGGGGATTGCGATCTATGCATTGGGCACAACCTGCAATACATTTGACATTTTTCATAATTGGGCTTAGCTAATTTTACATATTGATACCTTTAATGGACTGGCGTTTGGGTAGGATTGTAACAGCGCCTTCTGCCATTTCCTCTTGGTTTAGGATAGGGGCAATTTTGGAGCCCCAGCTGTCTGAACCGACCCAGATGAAATGACCCGTCTGATTGGCCTTCTTTGCAGCTTGCAGGAGTCGCCTTGGGATAAAAGACAGAAATGTGTATATTTGCACATACACACATCTCAAAAGTAGGTTGCGGTACGCTATTACATTTTACAAGTCCATAAAAAACAAAAAGGCATCCTTTTCACATTTATGTTTACTCAAAACTCCAGTATAATCCATAGAGTCACCATGGCAGTATTTTAAAAAAATACTGAGGGTTACTGAGGGTACTGGCAGTTATCTTCTACCGCATGAGTCCAATGTAACAGTAAGATAAACCTTTAGCTCTGTTATATTATATTTCTGTCAACCCCAAGCAGTTGCACTTCTATCTTGCACTGACAGGGTTCAAGGATAGAGCATGCATAGAGTTTGGAAATCCCCCCCAGGTTTCTGTAATTACTATATATCCAGACTATTAGGCATTATCAGGGCTGGATTAAGTCAATGAGCAATGGGGCTTTGGCCTGGTCAGTGTCAGGAGACTGCCCAGTGCCTGTCTATCTCACTGTTGCCTAGGCAACCTAGCTCCCCGTTGGGCCACAACAGCATAGCTCTGTCTGTGCTGTTACATTCTACAGCTTATTAATTTGTTCTTAATTGAGTTGGACGATGCATAGTGTGCAAATAATAATAGAGCAGTTGCTATTTTGACATCAGCAGTCAGTCATCAGTGAACGCGTGGATACCCCATGTCTTGCATACCTGATGTCGTCCTCATTGGCGAAGATGATGACAACTCTGGCATTGGGATTCTCGCTCAGTCTGCGGATGATCTTGTCGAATTCATTTGGTTTGGGTTCACGTGGAATTTTTATTGACTGTGAAATGCAGAGGCCCCCTGTGAAGAATAAACACATTTGCTATCATCAATAATACATTTTTTATAAAGCGCTTTTCATACAAGAAGTAGTGCTGTAAAATGGGCTTAAAAACAATCCCACATATCCGTGACCCGTCAACCCAATTGACCCACCCCAAACCACATATTGTGTTAAGTATCTCTCGCACACTCACATATACAGACACAGCCACACATACCAGCACACACAGTCACATCAAATTAGTTAAATAGTTACAACCAGTAACCACCAGAAGAAGTGTCATCCGAGGAGCGGTCTGCACCAGGAGCAGAGAGGCGCCTGCAGCCAGAGCGGACGACACAGGACCCAGAGATGAAGCTGAGGCTCCAAACCTCCACCACGTCTATGAACCAGACCCCCACTGCCCCAGCCGACCACCGTTCCCAGTGCAGAGGGCTCCTCCGGATGAAACACTCGGGATACTAACAATACAATAAAAAGTAAAACATTGAATAGATAACCTTCTTTGCATAGGTTGCAATCATTGGCTGAATAATGCCTGCAGTATAACCTTAAAACATAGGCCCCAGTTCACATATCAACGGTCTCAGAATCATGAACCACGAGTCAACGTGGTAATGCCTTTAAATTATGATTATGATCTGCTTTGTTCATGGCTGACGTTTGCAAGCAGTGCTCGTTCACTGATCTTGTTCAAGCAGTAAACTCTGGAGGATTTTAATTAAATTGTTTTACGGATCCTGACGTTGTAATTGCATTCTCTTTGGTGTATGTTTGTTAACGCAAACATATTAATATTGATCTAACAAGATCCTTCTTTCGTATATTCTTTATTTCTTTAAGAGGCATTTAACCAAGACATTTTTTTTGTCTGTACATTTTTTAACCTTACAAGGCTTTGGCATGGATACATATTTTTGCAGCCATGAAACTGCATTCTTTGCATTTCTTGTATGGTAATGATGCTTTCGATACCAAATCATCTCAAATTATTTGCAGTTGGGGGGTAATTTTAGTCAGAGGTTGAATATGGCTAAACCTTAATAGCATTGCTTAAAAAAAATGTCTGCTAGACTTGAACAAAAGGGGTTCTGTTCGTTTTTGTTTGAACCATAGAGATTATGTATTGTGTACTGATTGGCCATGTTTGTATATTTTAAAAACTAAATTAGTCTCTTATTTAGTAACTAAAACTATTATATTATATGCTACTATAAATGTGCTGTAAAGCACATCTAAAATTGGAGCTGGAGGAGTTTGAACAAGCCAGGCCATTTAAACTTTTCAAAACATCCCATGTAGATTCCACAGAACACACATAATTTACATAGTTGCCAGTAGAATTACAGAAATGTAAGCACAACATTTCTTTTGTGGATTGCTTTTTCAAAATCTGCTCATGGCAAGTAGTGATTTTTTTTCTCGTATTAAAGCAACAAATAAGCAGGACAAAAACCAATAAAAAAAATCAGCCATTTCACTCTATTAAGGATTATGTTATGGTTTTCTCTCCCCCCTCTCTCACTGACTATCAATCATTAGACTCTACAGTTGTCGTTGCCTCCAGTCCCTCGTTCCCCAACAGCTGCTGTGTGACAGTAGAGCACACATCTCTTCTCTCCCTTCGCACATGAGCGGCAGGCTGCAGCATTGTTTAACCTCGGGAGAACAGAAGCAGGGCCAGGACCAGAGCGGGCCCCTGGGAGTTTCTGTGCTCTGAACACAGGCCGTGCAGGGGCCCCCCCTTGGACATACTCTCAGTTACAAAGCATGACAATTTGTTTACTGTACACAACACCTAAAGGTGCTTCTGTCTGCTATATGTGAGAATCTATGACGCCCAATATTAAATATGTAGTACATAGGAAATCTCAATATAGTCACAAGCCAGACAAATCATTTGTATACCACGAAAAGTAAAAACAGTCAGAATGGCATGGTGGCTGTCATCAGTGAGAGGAGTGCAATGGCTGCTCACATTTATAGAGTTTGAGTTTATTTTTGGGGCTGTCAGAATTATCGCGTTAACACACGTTAATTAATTTTTTTCCATTAATCGTGTAAAAAAATATAAACGCAATTGACGCATGTCCATGCATCCCATAATAACACTCAGAATGCCGCGGATCAAACTGATTTAAAGACATTCTGCATTTCAGACTGTTTTGAAATGTCCCTCATCTGTAACAAACAATAGTTTTGGTCTGAGTCACTACAAAAAGCCTGGCCTTAGCCAATCAATCATCATTTCACTGCATGTAACGTCTGGGTCTAGTCCCTGGGTTAGCGATTACAATTGGTTGAATTTCGACTGACCTACCAGCGAGCGCGGAAGGCAGGTGTTGTAGTTAGTTGTGGGTGACGTCAGGAGTTTGCGTCGAACGGGAAGGTTGTAGTTTGGCAATGGCGAAAAATGCGATAGTGAAGTAATACGGTCTGGTTCTATCAAGAAATTGAAGCCGGAGCAAGAGTAATGTTTAGCAAATGTAATCGCTGGATAGAATTGTGGCGCTACTCCCCACGGGCTCCATTAGCGGCAAAGGAGATGGATAGGCTAAATGCTAAATGCTAACAATCACTCGGGCGCTCTACATACGTCACGGTAAACTCCAATCCAATCGTTTCAATCTGCAAAAGGAGTTAACCCCTACTATCTGTAAACGGAGCTCAATAGAGCGCCTCCAGACCTTAGTACAAAATGTAATTTGCACTATGGTGTGGTACGACCAGGCTACTACAAATGCAGTACATATGTACACTCTGTTGGCATGTATATTTCCATTCAATCAACTACAGAAAAACATGGCATTATTTTGACGATAGTTCGAAATGCGATTAATTAAGATTAATTATTTTTTAAGCTGTAATTAACTCGATTCAAAATTGTATGAGTAGGGCTGTTTGACAGCCCTATTTATTTTATTTAAGTGTCATGCACAAAAGTGCCCAGCCCACATGCCATGGGCTTATATGACACTGTTACTTGTACTACATTACACTAAATTTGTTTTGAATTAGTGCAGTGAACTTTTGAAATGTGCAGTTAAATTGCATAGCAATTTTTATGTGACAAATAATTAAATGCTACAGATTACTAGGCAGATTCCAAGGGGCTCTTCAGTAAAATTATAAGAATGTGTTTTAAGGTCATTTGAACCCAAATGAGAGAAGAGACTGTGGCATATATTTGAGCCCAGAGGGTTAGAATCATGTTAAGAGTCTATTTCACTTCACTTTTTTACTTAACTTTCATGAGGTGAAAAACAAAAGAAGGAACCAAAATGCTGTACTGCAAATAGAAGTGTAATTGTATTAAATACAATCAAATCCAGGGTAATAAGACATACATCCAAACTAAACCAGCTGGCACATCATATCATCTGGGTAGTTGCGCTGAAATTAGATTTCACTTCATCAAGTGTCTTTAATCACTCTAATCACTGTATCATTTACATATACCTTAGATTAAATGTTAATATAGGACTCTCATCTTCTTATCTCATATATTCATTGAGATGATAGAAGGAATTAAAATTTTGGTTTCCCATACCAAAAACAAATTAACATCAGCATTATTTTGTATATTTGGGCAAAGTAAATAACACTTTTATATTAGATATTTTTACTTGGCTGCAAGTTCTAAGTAGCTCTGAAACAGTTGTTGTTTAGTGCATTTATTATTTTATTTTTTGCTTTTTTCTACCTGAGATGTTGCTCCAGTAGTGTTCATGGTTTTACATACTGTAGTTCTGGACCAGACCAGAGAGGATTCATGGTTCGAACCAAGTGGATCAGGTTAAAATCCACTGGAGGAATGCTAACTTTTTGAAAATGCTATTGAAGCATTTAGCATATTTACTTTAGACAAGATCAGAGAAAATGGTCCAAACCAAGCGGCTACTCCACCTTGTGACCTGTCCTGCTCCACCCAGCGGCAACTCCACCTCTGCTGCTGTGATCCGTCCTGCTCCACCCAGTGGCTACTCCACATCTGCTGCTGTGACCTGTCCTGCTCCACCCAGTGGCTACTCCACATCTGCTGCTGTGACCTGTCCTGCTCCATCCAGAGGCTACTCCATGTCTTCTGCTATGACCTGTCCTTCCCCACCCAGTGGCTACTCCACCTCTGCTGCTGTGACCCAACCTGCTCCACCCAGAGACCACTCCATCTTTGCTGCTGTGACCCGATGGCCTGTGGCTGATAAATACTATTATTGGCTTTTTAGAATGATCAATTTTTCTGATACTGGACGGATACCTACGGGGATCAATAAAGTATCTGTCTGTCTGTCTGTTTCAAAGGACCTTATTGCAATAGTGGTGTCTTCCTTAACATTGTACACACATCTTCTTATGCAACATTCTCTAATGAAGACCAAGATTACTTATCTACTTACTAAAAAAAAGTGGGGGAAAAACCCACATACGCTCAATGCTTCAGTAACCAGAAGGGTTGTGTGGAGATCCATCCATCCATCCATTTTCTTCCGCTTTATCCGTTGCCGGGTCGCGGGGGCAGCAGTCTAAGCAGAGACGCCCAGACTTCCCTATCCACACACACCTCCTCCAGCTCGTCCGGGGGGACCCCTAGGCGTTCCCAGGCCAGCTGAGAGACATAGTCTCTCCAGCGTGTCCTGGGTCTTCCCCGGGGCCTCCTCCCGGTGGGACGTGCCCGGAACACCTCCCCAGGAAGGCGTCCAGGAGGCATCCTGAACAGATGCCCGAGCCACCTCAACTGGTTCCTCTCGACGTGGAGAAGCAGCGGCTCTACTCCGAGCTCCTCCCGTGTGACCGAGCTCCTCACCCTATCTCTAAGGGAGCGCCCAGCCACTCTGCGGAGGAAGCTCATTTCGACCGCTTGTATCCGCGATCTCGTTCTTTCGGTCATTACCCACAGCTCATAACCATAGGTGAGGGAGGGAACGAAGATTGACCGGTAAATTGAGAGCTTTGCCTTTCGGCTCAGCTCCCTCTTTACCACAACGGTCCGATACAGAGACCGCATCACTGCGCACGC